TTGTTTGCGTTTATTATTTATTTGCTTGAAGTCAATTTTCTAATTATTAATTATTTAATTTAATTTAATTTATATTTAGTTATGGATCTCGCAATCATAAATTATCTCGGGTCAACTCATCAAGGATCTTATGCCTAAACCAGTATTGTCACTTGGCTATTTGGCTTGCCCAAAAATTTTGTTTGGTCGCAAAAAATTGCCAACGATGACCTAAACCTATCTTGGAACATAATTACGTATATAATTAAATTACACGAACGCATTATGCTTTAGATGCTCCCTTAACGTTAAATACTGTAGTATCATCCCATAAATTACCTAAAAAGTTTAAAATGATGGACTTTATGCAATTAGATGGCACTACGTATCTATATACGTATACGATTTGGGTACGTATTACCTAAAGTAGTATAGTATGAGGTATAGTTGCTTAGTACGTAGTATATTAAAAATTAACGTATATAGTCGACACACGATAATCCGAAGCCTTTGGATTTTTTATCAAACGCGCTTTTAATATAGATTTGGTGTAACAATTTTCAAATCTCACTAAGTTTTACCATGTTATATAAAATCGGTCTGTGATTTTAAAGTTAGACTAAGATTAGGATAGGAATAAAAGGTTCAAATCAAAGCTTATACCAAAATTGAGTGGAATTTTTATTAGAGCAAGAAAGTAGATTTTTGAATAATACGTGGCATAGATTCTTATAAATTTCGACCTATTAACACATTTTCATATAATCCTCAATAATAAACTGACTCGCTCTCCAAGCAACCATAGCTGTAGGCGCATTTGTATTTCCACTTGGAATATATGGAAATATTGAAGCATCAACAACTCGAAGATTTTTGGTACCATAAACTTGAAGTCGATGGTTAACAACTCCGCCTTTAGATTCCGGTGCCATTTTCACTGTTCCACATGAGTGACACGATGATATTGACTAAACAGAAGATGTGTTGAGAAATTTTATTTAAGATACATACATTCATAATATAAAGTATTTCAAATACATGCCCTATTCCAAATATAACTTTCCCAATCTTCATCATTCATATCATCTCCATTAGAACACCATTTTCCAAATTCATCATTAATTCCAATTTCTTTAACGCCATAAACAGTGCTTAGTGGAGGTTGTTTAAGTATTTCACGACACAATTTAAGTGAACTGATCATTCTATATAAATCATTAGGTTTTTCAAAATAGTTTAAATATATCTTCGGTTGATCAAATGGATTTCTGCTGTTAAGTTCTAGATAACCAACACTTGACGGAATATTAAGAGCAGGAGCTAGAATAATCCCATTTAATTTATTATGTTTGCCAAGAAGTTCTTTTGAGGGATTTTTTGTAAAACCATCTTGGTATGTAGTCACTATTTATATAAGATTAGATAAATAATAAAAATAAATAAATTATTGCCTTAGTAAAAGCATACCGGAAATCTGAATGTCAGGATTCTCATCAAAAAAGTCATCATTGCAAGGAATTTTTCCTTCAACATTAGTTTTATGCATTATTCCAATTTCAGGTCCGCTACTCCAATAGTGGACTGGATTTGGAATTGATTTGGCAACAATACCACAAAGTGGATGATCCATCAAGTTTCTTCCAACTGGCAGTTCTTTACGGATATTTATGTTATTTGCTTTAAGATTTTCTTTTGGCCCAATTCCAGAAAGCATTAAGACCTTTAAAAAAGAAGGTTTATAATAATGTATCATTATGACATTATTATTATAAAATTTCATATTCTTACCTGAGGACTATTAATGGCACCAGCACAAAGAATTACTTCTCCTTTTGGAGCAATGAGAGCCTCACGCATAACGCCATTGAAAAAATATCTTACACCGATTGCAATATTTTCCTTTTTATTCTTTTCATCCCAAATAATGTCTAATACGTGAGAAAATGACCTAACATCCACTGCTACAACTTTTCCAAAACCATTTGTTTTTGAATCTGAATATAATTCGACTTTTTTTAATGCGTCTTTTAGATAGCTATCAGCCAAAGAACATCTTTTTCCGTCTTTCATTGTAAACTTTAATAAACATGTTAAAAATATCATTATAAAATGATAAAATTTTATATTATACAGTATTAAGGTACCTGATATGATCCAGCACCGTTCTGTCTTTCACCATTAAAATCGTCATTATAAGGAATACCAAGGTTTTTAGCAGCATCAACCACACCTGACATAACATCATAAATTCCATTTTGGCTATCTTGCACATGAAATAAACCATTGAATCCATGAAATTTTTTAAAATTTTCATCTGGTTTCTTTCGCAAATTATTTTCCATTGTTTTAAACGCTTTTTAAGAAAATATATATATATATTGAGCTAAGTAATTAGTGTTGAAATAACAAACTCATACCTTCTAAACAATGATTCCAATCCCAAATTTCGTATTCAGGTCCTTGAGTTGCCCAATAATTATACACTTTTGCCTGACCCCGCCTAAAATGACATATTTTTTTTAGTTTATATATATATACTATAAATTCGTAAATTCACGAAACTTGCATATAAATCATTGCGTTCAAAGAGCTAGATCCTCCCCAAACTTTTCCACATATAAAAGGGGAACTATCTTTTACTACTTCTTTAAAAGGGTTTATAGAACTTGGCATTCTTTGTTCCTGAGTAACATATCCCCAAATGTGCTCGGTTTGTTGGAGTTCCTGTATTGAGGTAATAACATGAGTAAACTACTTCAGTACTTAATGCTACTGTATGTAAAAGGTTTATCACCTTATATGCACATGGCAAACTAATTAGACCGTTAGAATGGGCACTAGGACCTCCGGCTTCCAATACTAGGATGTTAATATTCGGAATATTATGAATCAATTCTCTAGCAAGCACGCATCCTGCAGTACCAGCTCCCACGATAATAAAATCATAAATTTCTTTAATTTTAAATTTTGCATGTTTATCGTAATCAAAATTATTCTTAATCCAAAATTCACGAACTTCATCATCCTTTTCTAAATCCTCTTGACTTTTTTCAATTGCATTTGGTTTCTGACTCATACTTTTAAAGTGCAACCTAACAATATGGTGTGCCACAAAAAATATCTAATATCTTATATATGACTTATAAAAAATGATATAACTCTGCAAAAATAATTTTATCAAGAAATTTTTTTTGATAGACTTGTTGCTTTTTGTTAAAGTTACAGTTCCATTAAAATAGATTTTTAATCTTAATAAGTTATTTCAATTTAAAGTTTATACGTATATATATGTTTAAGATATACAAATATATATGATATGTGTGTTACGAATATATTGTTTAGCACAGGAATAATTAAAGATTTTTGCATGTACTCAACCAAATACGATGGAATAATGTTTTTATGGCAAGAATATTTCATAATGGTAACCATTATTTCTTGCATCTTAGCCGATTTCTTGATTAGATGCTTAGTGATATTTCGAAGAGATCTTATTAGTCGGATTAAATTTTTGTTGGGTAACGCGTTTTGTAAAAATCTTCAATAGGATAACTTGTGTACCACGGTTATGTTTATCTGATTGACCATTTAATCCTTCAATAACTTCAATTATTTTAAAGATATTAATAACCCAATTTTTAAAGCTTGGGTTTTCATGTTAACTTGATGTTGTTCATTTTCTCAGCTATTCCCATTTTTTCAAAGATTTTTGAAGCGAATGAAATTAAAAAAACCAATAAAGTATTCGAAGTCGTAAAGAATATTTTTTTTACATTAAAAATACTTCATTAAATTTGCTTTAGATTTGACGTATATTACGGTATAAATTTTAAAACTGTCAATTTTTAATCGACCGTCATTTAAAAGTGAACGCACATAATTATGACTAGTGTAATAGTTTTAACTACACACAAGTATGATCGGTATAATACTTTACTTATACACATGAGTATGATAATTAATTGTACTTTTACTCAACTACTTTCGCACACCAAAGCATAGCGGAGGACCTCTCAATGTCTGTTAACTTCTGGACCAGGTTACACTGCATATTTAATCGTTATCAGATTCTGATGCTTAATTTGAAATTATGCATGCGCGCCAAATTGCCTGATCTAGAAAAATTACACGGAGAAATTGAAGAATTACAAAAAAAACCGAACCTGACCGTACAAAATTATGCGCTATATTAGAAATTGTATAAAATATGCGAAGATATTTTTTCAGAAATTAGTGCAAAAAAAAGAATTCATTTTTAATAATAGTGTTTAAACATTTACTCGTATAAATCCCAACACGAAATTTAATTTTGATCCATCATCGATATCTCGGCTCTAGTGATTGAATTTAGATGATTTTAGCATCATTCGAATCGTCTCATCAAAACGATTCAAATGGTACTAAAATCATCTAAATTCAATCACTTGATTCCGAGATATTGATGATGGTAAGACCGTTGATGTTATACGACTGATTTTTCACAATACCAGATCATTCCCGCTAGTACATGTTATGATTACTGGATTATATTTTTATTAGTAAAAATGGTGTTGGATAACATGTACTAGCGAAATGATCTGGTATTGTAAATTTATTTTTTTATATGTTGCACACCGTGTGAAAAATCAGTATAACATCAACGGTCTTGCTTGCCTGTAGGTCAAAATCAAATTTCGTGTAATTTTACGAATTTTAATTGGGAATTTATCCTGTAAATTGATAAACATTCTAAAGACATTTATGACGGATTGATCTCATTGGTTAATTTGAATCATATGATTAAATTATTGCTAAAGGAATCTGGTACGTACCTGAATTATGCGACTTCAGTGCATATACATATGGGCCAAATTATGCGCATATTATGCAACATCATAATCCTAGGCACTTTAATTTGGATGCGTTTGATCTATCCATCTTCACACCTTTTTTATAAATTCATTCGAGGCCTCTCCTGTCGTAACTTGAGAACTTTTCGTATTTTTAAAAAAGCAAGAACTTGTTCAAGTGTGATATCTGACATGTCTTTAACTTGGAATTACCCTGTGATTAGACGTGACGAGTCTATCGTCGAGGAATTACATGGTATCAAGGTTGCCGATCCTTACAGGTGGTTGGAAAACCCTGACTCCGAAGAAACAAAGGTGAGAAAATTATTAAACGATATAAAACTATTATAAATTTTGCTAACTTGTTTAAAATGCAAGGCGTTCGTTGATACTCAAAATGCTCTTACGAATAAACATTTGGAGTCTTATCCTTATCGCGAAAAGTTTCGTGAAACGTATGCTTATTTCTTTAAATCTTTAATTATGTCTTTTTCTTTTCGATTAATTACTTATTTACTATCTATTTTAAACATCTTATAGTCTAACTAAAATTTATAACTATGAAAAATATGGTTGTCCTTTTAAATATGGCAATCATTATTATTATTTTTATAATACTGGTTTGCAACCTCAAAGGTATTAACTAATTTGCTTTTTTATGTTTTAGCGGATACGAATTATTAACATTATATCATGATTTACAGTGTCTTATATCAATTGAAAAACTCTCTTGATTCCCCACGTGAAGAATTTTTCAATGCAAGTAGTATTCTTTACTTTATTTATCTTTATTTTTTTGTTCAATCTTTTTAACAGTTCTTTTATAATAATTTATAGCCAAATACTTTTGAGGCAGATGGTACTGTTGCCCTTAATACTTATTCCTTTTCAAAATATGGCAAATACTTTGCTTATGGCATCTCTAAATCAGGTTCGTATTACCTTATTGATTACTGTTTCTTCAGCCTTATATATATGATTTTAAATGATTACCCGTCATTCCAATATTTTCTCGTTATTTCTAGGAAGTGATTGGGTTACAATACATGTGAGGACAACTGAAAATGATGAACAAAACAAATTACCGTTGGGTGATGTGGTTGAATGGGTTAAATTCTCATCCATTGAATGGACGCATGATGAAGCTGGTTTTTTCTATAATGTACTTTTAATGTGCTGATTTTAGCTGTTTTATAATCACATACTTCATATCTGTGCATTATTAATATATAGTTTTATCTTTACAGAGATATCCTGAACCTGAAAAAAGTGATGATAAAGGCACTGAAACCGATACGAATCTCAATGCCATGGTAATATAAAAAATTTAAAATGTATTTTTGATAAATTCAAACTTCGTTGTCTAAATTCCTGTAATTGTTTATTTATTTATTTTATTATCAAAGCTCTATTATCACAAATTAGGCACTTCTCAATCTGATGACATTTTAGTTTATAAAGACCCGAGCAACCCCGAGTACATGTACGAAACTTCCATTTCTACAGATGGTCGCTATGTAGTTCTCAAAATTGATAAGGATTGTGCTCCTGTAAATAAATTGTGGATCTTAGACTTAAAAAAAACAAATCATCAAATCATTGGTATGTATCATATATTACTCTTTTGTACAATTTAATAAAATTAGTTATTAATCTATTGCCATTTGCAAACTAGAAAATTGTGATTTTCTCAAAATTGTTGATAATTTTGATGCTCAATTTGATTAGTATGCTAGATGTTAATTACAAATTGCATCATTTATAATATATTCCATTATTTAACGTTTATTATTCTTTATATAATAGTATCACAAACGATGAAACGACATTTTACTTCAAGACTAATTTAAAAGCGCCTCGATATAAAATCGTAAAATATGATTTAAATCGACCTGATGATGTAAATAACTTTTTTTTTCATTTGTTTCTCCATTTAGTAATCTCTTACATATAAAAGTTTTTAACATAATAGGGTTTTACTGAAATCATCAAAGAACATCCAACAGATGTTCTTTGTTTTGCCACTCCAATTGCCGAAACAAATCTTGTTATTACATATATGCATGATGTGAAAGAATTGATATCTATACACAATTTATCCACCGGAAAACATATTAAAGATTTAGATGTTCCGATAGGATCAATAGATTCAATAAAAGGGAGAAGGGAGGATACAGAATTTTTCTTTAAATTTATCAGCTTTTTGAATCCTGGTGTCATTTATCGGTATGACTTTACAAAAGAGAAGTTGTCAGAATATCGGGCTACGGAAGTTTACGGATTCAACAGCAATTTATTTGAAACAAAGCAAGTCTTTGTCGAAAGCAAGGATAAGACTAAAATTCCCGTTTTTATTATTTTACCAAAGGTTTGACGACTGTCTTTCAGTAATGATATCCTAAAAGTTTATTGCATTCGAATTAATTACAAATAACAAATAGAATATCACTTATAATGGTAATAATCCTACGTTGCTATATGGATACGGAGGATTCAGTATCAGTATAACACCATCATTTTCTACTTCTTGGTTGAACTTTATTCAGCATTATAATGGTGTTGTTGCTGTCGCTAATCTCCGTGGTGGTGGTGAATATGGTGAAGAATGGCATAATTTAGGGATGTTACACAATAAACAAAATGTTTTCGATGATTTTCAGGTCCGTATAAAATTTTGTTTTTAAAATAGTATCATATACTAAAATTATTACTTCTCATCTTTTAAAGTCAGTTGCTAAATGGTTGGTAGATAATAAAATTACATGCCCTGAGAAATTAGCTATAAACGGTGGTTCTAATGGTGGTTTACTAGTTGGCGCATGTATAAACCAGGTAATTATTTGAATGGCTATCGTGCGATAGAAATCTACGAACATAGTTGCTTTATAATATTATTTTAAGATTACTTAATTTATACATGCGTTCAGGCACCCGAATTATTCGGTGCTGCAGTAGCAGATGTAGGTGTTATGGACATGCTGAGATTCCATAAATTCACCATTGGACATGCGTGGAGAAGCGACTATGGTGACCCTGACAAAAAGGAAGATTTTGAATATATTTACAAGTATGGCACACTTTGTTAATACTTTTTTAAATATCGATAATTTTACATTGACATTGTTAAATTATCTGTGGAAATTTTGTCATTTCTAGGTATTCCCCACTTCATAATGTACAGTCTATTAAACCATATCCTTCAGTATTATTAACCACATCTGACCATGATGATAGAGTGTGATTATTAATTTTATTAACAAATTTAGCCTAAAAACGTTCTAAAAACTGTCACACATTCTAGCTTTATTAATTTGAATATTTACTTTTAGAGTGCCTTTGCATTCCTATAAACTTATAGCGCAACTACAGTATGTTGCAAAGAAAAATCCAAATCCTTTAATGATTAGAATTGAAACTAAAGTACGTCAAGTGATGTAAGTGCATGTATGATTTCATTGACATTAATTATATCTCTATTTTTAATTTTAAAATAGGCTGGCCATGGAAGTGGAAAACCTACAAAGAAGAGAGTATGTTATTTGTTTGTTTTTGCATGATTACAATTCCTCGAATTGTTTGTTAACGTGTAACAATAAATTTATCACAGATCGATGAAGCTACCGACAAATATTCATTCATTGCGTTATCACTTGATGCCAAATGGGTAGATTAATTAAACATTCACTAACATAAATTGATTAGAATAAATAACTTATGTACGGGGTGATTATCGTTCAGTATTGTTTAATAAAATTTATCGAGTGATACTAGCACGAGCATTTTTTTTCTTCAAGGAAAAATACCTAGTGTGTTATCAGTTATTTGTATATCAAATCTACAGTAATTGTAAAGGCAAACAAGATAAATTCTTTTATATTTTTCGCGTTAAGCTGTTGCTTAACTCGCACAACTCCAATCTTTTTGCGTACTCTATTCGTCTTAGATGCTTTCTTCGCTGAAGCAGTCCAGATCTCGATAAAATATAATATGGTTAGTAATTCATTCTATAACGAAAGTTTTCAACTAAAATACCAATGGGAGTTTGGGCAAATAGCCCACCACACTCAACGAATAGTTGAGGTTCCCACTGTAAACCAATAGTTTCAGTTCCTCCCAAAGGAATAAAAAGAAGTTCGGGCTAATAGCCCCCACACTCAACGAATAGTTGAGGTTACCGCTGTAAACTAATAGTTTCAGACCCCCTATTCCTTACTGCAGACTAAACCCCATAGAAATTATCAGCTTACCTTCCAAGTATTGATAAGCTCTCGAGCTTTTATTCTACGCGTGTCGTCTAAACCAAACTTAACATCTGCCACATTGTAAAGATTTTTCTTTATGTCGTCCAGAATTTTAGATAGCTCAAGTTGTATATTCAACTCTTTACGATAATATTTAATTATGTTGGTAATTGTCCATTCTTGGACTGGAGTAACTTTGTAAAAATTTATGGAAGTCGGGAGCATTTGGTTAAGAAAGATTCGTTTTTTGTGGACAAGTGTTTGTGCGTGTCTGAGCAGGGAGTTTAGTAAGAACTAAAAAAATATAATGTATTAAGCGTTAGGGAAGTAGCGATAGTTAATAATTTAAATAAATATAAAAACTTCGATTATTTCTTCAAAATTTTTGTGCTCTCGTGATTCTAATATTCTTGTGCGCAAATTGAAATTTAAAAAGCGTTGCTATCGCCCTGGAAATGCTCTTTTTTTTTTTACCCTTCGTTGACCGTTTTGTTCTACGCTGTAAGGAGGCTACGAACAGGAATTTGCGTTCTACTCCAAATTCGTTTATTATTTTGATCGAATATTTGAATATAAAATTGCCGAATTTGGGGGTCGTCTAAAGCGGAGCAGAATCACGTGATATATGGCCAATCAAATTATAGAAATTTGATGATCGCCGACGAAGCAAAACAAGAAAAAAAAGCGAAAAACTTGAAAATACAAAAAATAGCAGTCAAAACCTACCTTGGGTAAGCTAAGTAAAATGTCGGGAAGGCAATTTTGCTTATATATAACTATCTAAAGCCTGCTATAACCATAATCCAAGATGACCATAACCCTAAAGTTAATTCGATAAAATACATATTATAAGAATCTACTCCGCTTTAGACGTCCCCCGAATTTGGATACCTTCATTTGTTTCTCAGAAAATTCTTGAATTAAATAATTATAACTTGAAGGTAAAAAATTTTCTAAATCTTGTGAAAGTTTATTGTTATTTTTTGAGTTTTAATAATTTGCGCAACTTCTAAATTCAGCAATATCTTAGTTATTAAATAAAATTTTAAATATAAAAATTAAAATATACCGAAATTTTCATACGCATATTAGATATTTGTGAAGACTGTACTTGTTCGACTTGTTCCATTTTATTTAAATATTATTAATTTGAATTCATAAAATTTTTATTAGGAATCAATTTAAAAGTTAAAATTATTTTAACGTCATTATAGAGATCGGAGATTAATTATAACCTGTCCCAGTTTTTTTATGAGGAATTTTTTCACATATATGCAAATATCATCCAAAAAAAAATTTTTTACCACTGACAAATAATCTTTTCAAATAGCAACTACCCGGAAACTTTACCGCATATTTGTATAACTTATGTCTGAACAAAGTACCCCCATTTCTACAGCTACAACAAATAGTGAAAAACCTGCTCCCGCATTGGCTGAGTGCGTTCGGAAGTACAATACCGAGCAACTTATCAAATTTTTGCGTGAGAATGAAGACGACCTGCAACTTAACGACGCTCATTTTCAAGTCTTACGCAATGAAGAGGTCACTGGTCGTGATTTTCTTATTTCAACCATGCAAGATTTTATAGATAATGGCCTGAAAGGTGGACCCGCGAAAATTCTCGCAGACTTCGCCAAGAAAGTCCAAGAAAAAAAATTAAAAAGCTTTTCATCGTGCAAGACTAAGCAAGATGTGAAAGAGGTATTTAACAAGTTCGGATACGAGGATGCTGACATAACATCGATTTTGCCATTCAAACCAGGTATTTAGGACATAACGGGTAGATTGAAGAATAGTTAACTCAGTAATCATCACAACATCACATGGCAAGTGAAGTGTTCGGCCTAGGTTAGAGTTAGAGTTAGGCCAGTTTGTTTTAATTTTGGTAAACAAATTATATACGCCATTATATGTTTATCATGTGATCGTCGATCACTGAGTTACCTAAATGTCCCGACATAACGTTTTAATTTTTTTGATTAGAGAGACGGGCTGAACTTTTAAACTGTTTATTTTTTACACAGTAGAAATTGTTGACATCAATAGCAATGACGAAAGGCTTAAATTCTGTATAGATGATATAAAACAGAAGATAGAACTCTATGGTCCAGCATCTGAACTTAACGAAGCTGAGCGTTGTCATTATATTTCTCCAATAATTCGTTCATCCATCCATATCGCCAGGAAAATTACCAACAAAACAATAATTCCAAAATGCCAGTTTAGTGATGAAAGAACGGGTCAAGTTGATTACGTTGTTAAAGTCAAAGATAATACTGGAAATGACGAATTGATAAAAATAACCGAAGCAAAGCAGAGTGATATATTAATGGGATTCGGACAAAATGTTTTACAACTTAACGCTTCTCACCATAAAAATTCAAAAAAACGAAATGCAGAAGAGGCATTTGGTAAAGATGCTTTTGATTACTTATATGGAATCGTTACTACAGGTATATTTTGGTTGTTTTCCGTAAATATCTATTATATTAAGGCGCACATAAACTGATGAATATCGATTTATTACTGTTAGCAACCAATTGGTATTTTATTTTATATACCCCAGAAAGGTTTTACCGTATAGAAAGTGAGTATAGTATTAGAATTAACAGAGATGCTTTGAAAGATGATTCTTTACTATGTAAAGATGTAAAAAAAGTTGTACAGGTACTTGTTAGTCTATTGAAGGATAGGATCGAAGTAGATGAGTCCTCTGATCGTAAGAGAGCTCGAACAAAAAAATTTATATAAAAATGTATGGGATATTGTTGTTTCGTATTTTTTTCTGCAATTATTGCGTAATTTAGAATAGCTAGTACGTAAGAGCATACAAACTCATGTGTCTATAACGTTAAGAACGTTAAGATCTTTAAAGAAAATTGTATCCCGTGGTGGTACAAATATTTTTTAAATTAAAAATAGATTTTCCTGGCATGGCTCATTTTGACTGATCATAAGACTTTTATTAACTCTTAAAGTAGAAGGAATATTCGTGTAATAGCAATCCGAATTGAGACAAATTAAAACAGATTGCTTTGTTACGTATATTACTTTTATATTTACCATTGTTAACAAATCAGATTACAAGTTTTTTTTAAAACTTTAAATTAAAATATCTCAACAACTATTAAACCAAACTTAATAAATTTTTTTTATTTTAATTCTATAACTAAATAGCATTAAAATAAAAATAATTTATCAAGTTAGGTTTAATAGTTGTTGAGATATTTTAACTTAAAGTTTAAAAAAAATTTACTTAGAAACAATTTGCCTAGTTTCTACTGACACCCCCATATAACAACCTACTCTAGCTTATCTAGAGTTTAAGAAAGAACTCTAAAGTTTTTATAATTAGGCAAAAATTTAGATAGTATAAAGAATTTTGCTACTTTGGCTAACAGGTATATTTTTAAAAAACTAAATATATCAAATTGTTCAGTAGTAATATAATATATTAAAGCAAGTTGTTTAGAGGTAAAAAAGAAATTATTAATATTTAAAAAGCCAATTTTGAATGTTTTAGCTATAATAAGTTGATTATAAAAATAGATTAATTAAAAAGATATTCAAGTTGTGTTTTTATAAAAGATTTGTAGTAAACAGAGTATTGTTAAAAAAGAACAAGATATAGCTAATTAAAATAAGATTGGTATGTTAAGGTATATGTAAATTTTAAGTGTTATAATATTAACAGAGATTTTGTAAGATTGAAAATAAGAATTTTTAAAAAGGTATTATAAGAATGTTTTGAATATTTGAAAAAATAGAAGAAGAGAAAGATTATATTTGTGAAGAAATTGGTTAAAGTATATCTTCTTAATAGGAAGAGATGAATTGATAATTGAGAAAAGAATAAGATCTTCTACAAAGTCACTCACTATATGCCCAGTCCTTATAGCTATGCAAGATACTATAGAGTTATTGGATGCGAAGTAGCCAATAACGGAAATTATTTGTAAAATAATTTCATTATCTGGCTGTTAAGTTTAATATGTCAGCTTCTGGGCCCCG